ACTTGCTTTGTTACAGGAAAACCCAATAAAAATATTGTGGAACTCATACAGCAAATAATCATTAGTCTGAATAGAAGAATATCTTCAAAAAAAACCAAAACAGAAAAGCAAGGAAAGCTCATTAAACCTTCCTAGGACACTACTGTGTTATCTACATGTAAAACTGTTTGTGTGATTTTGTAGCAATGCTTTTTTTCCCAAAGACATTAAAAGACTACAACTTTTTCCTTCTTGTTTTTATTAAATAAGGTACTTTTTGTCTTTGTTCTCTGTTAGTCACAGAATTGGTCACAGATCTCCAGCACAGATGTCCAATATTATATGCAAAACAATACAAAAAAAAGACACTCAAAATGATAATCTTAAAAGCAGAGTTGTTTAGAACTATCAAGTACTGAACAAAGAAGAATGAATGGCTGACATATTTATGAGTTTTTTCTTTATAATGATTTTTTTCTGTTTGTTTTAAATGCCGTTTGAGGTTTTGGTCACTTTTCTTTATCCTTTTTACAAAACTCCAAAGTCATTTTGATTACTGACTGTGATTCTTCTCATCTGTCATTATTAAAGCCATATTTCACACTATTTTTCTCAGAAGTCATTCCTCTCCTCTCTTCTAGTTTGAGAAGACATCTGGAGTGAAAGTTTGAATATTTTTGTATAAGCCACTTTATAAATATCCTAAGTCTCAGCATCATAGGACCTGGAGAAAGACTCTAGTGATGTCTTTTTCTTTTCATTTCCCTTTCTCAATTTAATGCACAAAAATACATCACATGTTCTTCAATACTGAACATGCTAAAACAACTCGCTGAAAGCTGACTGAAAACTTTGCCAAAAAGCTAACTCCTTCATTATTACAACAACATATTATCATAAGTATATATACACCAGACTTTTCAACTCTTAATAGCTAATTCTGTGAAGTTTAAAAACAGGGACTTAAGGGCTTGATTTAAAGGCTTGTATTTTTCATTTATTTCACAGTGTTTGGACTAAAGGTCAGCTGCATTAAAAAAATACCATGCTACAGATAGCATGTTAGCATGAAGAAATTCTAGACAATACACAAGAATTTTGGTAGCTCTCTGAGGGATGACAGGACGCAGAGCACATGGTGTGAGATGCAGTGGAGGGCCAGCCAAAATGCCTGACCTCGTGGCTTGACATCAAAGTGTCAGCAGCACTTGGGGACACAAGACACAGCCACCACACTGCACAAAGTCAAAGGTATAAACAGCTGTGAGAGAAGCTTCTATATGCAAGAAACACAGAGTCTGTGGACTTTATGATTCACTTATTCAGCATCACTTAAATAATTAACTCAGTTAACTGAAATATCACCAAATATCACAAGCTACCTGAAAGGATATATAAAGCTGAGAAAATAGAAACCATGTTCCTACACAGCAATTAATCCATGGAATGTTTTTCTTTCAGCTATGACATATATTTTCTGTGATGGAAGACCTGGGGAGTATTCAGGACAGGAGCTAGCTCTGTCAAATTTTCCTCTGAATAAAAAAATCACTTGCAAGAGAGCTACAAAATCTTTGTATGTTGTCCCTTTAGCTACAAGTTATACATTATAAGAGATTTGCAGAGGGTAAAAAATCTGCTAAATCAGACTGATGTAGCAAGATTGTGAAATTCCAGGTTATTCTTAAGGTTAGTTTTCATCCTAGCTCTGTAAAGTTCTAGTATTTTGGTTTTGCTTTTTTTTTCCCTGAATTTGTAATTCTAAATAAGTTTGCTTCAAAAAACATTTCAATAAGACAATTTTAAGCACTTCATAGTCCTCTGAATCAAAACAAAGAAATTATCCTGCTCAGTTTCATTTAAAATCAGGTTTAATATTAAGCTATATTTTGAGTATCGCACTGCTAAAATTAATAAATTCTGATGTTTTTGATATCCTTATTTTTTATCTTTGCTAATACATATAAAGTTGTATTTCTCACGAAATGGTATTGAAGTTGTATTTCTGTCAGAAGGAGCTCTACAACGTGCTCTCAAGAGATACTGAATTTCTGTTTGCCACATGCAATAAAAGAAAACAACAAAGAAAAATTCAAAAACACCCCAAGACTGCAAGTCATTCACAGTTTTTAATAAGTCAGAGTACTGATAAGAAAATTCTATTTTAAAATTTTTGATGTTTCAAAATTAAATTCTTTACATGAGTCAAAAACTTAGATGTTCTTGGGCTTAATGACATTTTGGTTTTTCTTGGACTTTTTCCTCATTAAAAATCTGAATTTGAAAAAAACTGCAGCTTCCTTTGGGTAAACAAACAAGCAAAAAAGAAAATAAAAATATGTTTGTGATATTAAATTCCTAGCTAGTTACCTTGGAAGCATTTTACATCCACTTTGTGTTAACTAGCACAGGCTGGTAGAGGAATATATGTGAGTATATAACAAGCTAGCTCTATTAATAAGCACATAAATTTAAGTAGAAATGCCAAGGAGCAATCTTCATTTCTTCAACAGGCTATTATATTGTGGAAATGTGTTTTCTAGCTGTTGTGCCTGTCTAGACTGCTATCAGCAGCTTGTATTTGTTATGAAAGCCTGCAGCTGGTCCATGCAAAGTTTGCTGTTTTGCAGCCCATCTGCTCAGAAGAGATCTGTAACACTGCCCAGTTTGGAGTAACACTCCCTTATCATTGCAGTTGTAGTTCCTAAATAGAAATCTGAAATAATGATGGTTGCTTTCTACTTTAGATCCCAGTACATTTTTTCCTGTACAGACAAATGGCTATCTGGCAGGTGGAACCAGAGGCCACTGAGAATCAAGCACAGCAGGCTGGGGAGTAGCATCCTTTCATTTCTGTGGCTTTGATCCCTGTAGTCTTACTAAAACTGTGATGCTGAATATTCTTAGGAGATGAGAAGGTGGCAATGAAGATAAGTCAAGTGTGAACAAATGGACGTGTTAAACTCAGAAGACAAAAATAGAAGTTGGTGCCTGGAACTACATGCACTATACACAGCTAACGTGCTTCTTCCTGAGCAAGACCTGAACTTGATCTTAACTTGAGGCCAAATTGCAAGCTCAGCACACTTTCTAGCAGCAGTCATTAGCTGTCTCATTAGTAAAAGTTCAAGAAAACCCACATCCACACTGTCCTTAATTTAAACTGATAGTAGAATTATTTTCCATTTTCTACCCACCATTTGATATTTTGAAGGGAAAAGCTGGACTCTAGCTCATTTTGATTAAGTCTTTTCTGATATAAAAATGCCACCACTTTCTGCCAAATAAGCAAACTGATTTATATTTTTATAAATTTATCTTGTTGTTTTGGGATCTGAACTTACCCTTACTGACATCAACCACTGCTGATTTAAAAAATGCAGCATGAACTATCATTGCATTTATACAGCTGTCATCAGTAATGAAATAATTGTTCTTTTTTAGGTGTAGGTTCAGTAATATGGCTTCGCAGTGGACCACCTGCTCTTACTCAAAGTCCTGCACGTGTCAGTGCAGTGCTGATAGAGCCAGCAGAAATGGTGCACTGTTGATCAGGAAGAAGGGTTAGTGTCCCTCAGCAGCCTATGACACCTCCTTGCACAGATCATTATTGCATACTTGGTTTTCTACTGTGGTTTTTCCTTGGTTTTCTCTCTTGCATGCTTAGCTGTGACTGCAGGCACCTGCTTCTGTTTTCTTGTTCCTGTTATAATTTGATTTCTGCTATAAACCTCTCTTGCTTCTGATCACATTTCTACACAGATTCTTAGCCTGGGAAAGCTCTTAAACTTCTCTGTCTCAAGACTGTGAATCCATGTCTCCACCTCTGCTTTTAGTCTTATAACCATCAGGACCAGTCATATAGGTTTCTAGCATGATGAACCTGATATAAGCACATTATGGTGTACAATTTTAAGAAACCAGATCAACAACAACAAAAAAACTAAATAAAGCAAGGTATTTCAATTCCAGAAATACACTATATACTAGCAATTGAATAATTTTATGCCTGTAAACTCAGAATTCCTGAAATTTTAAATTGGAATAAAAGCTCTAATGGAATATTACTATGTAGTGGTTGATATAGAACTTAAAATAAGGTATCATTAGGCCCTTTCTAAGATCAATCCAGTTTGCATGGAAAATATGTGTATTATTCCCTTAAGGATTGTATTTATAGAACAGATGGTCCATCTACATAGCATAGAACCTGACGGGTAAACTCTGCTCTCACATATGGTTTTTCTGGGGCCTTGTTGATGTAACTATCGGGGTTTGTTGCATGTGTATGTTTTCAAAGTGTCTGAGAAACAGCAAAGGATTAATTGTAACCCACAAGTATATTTCTTCTATAGCATGATGCTAAATATGTATTTTGTGCCCCAGAGCAAGATAGGAGGTTATGTAAAAATATATGAAAATATATGTGCAGTGTGAGGGGAATTGAACTGTGTTGGAAGATCAATGCATCGAGTATGTCTAAGAGCAGAAACATGGAATAGTTCCTTAGAAAAGAAAAAAAGTGGTAGTCAGCAAACCTTAGTGAAAACAGAATAGGGAACACAGCTGGCCTTCTTTCTGCTGCTTTGAGTTACCTGCATTGCTGGAAATAAAGAAAAAAGACACACCCTCCTCTCTTCAAATAGAGGAACTTTTGCTTTTTCTGCCTTTTGCTACTCTGTAGAAAGGAATAAAGGACGGGAAGGCATCTCAAAGACTCTTCTGTGATTTACATGCCCTACACAGGCAGTATCTGACCTTTAATTTGGCTAGATGTTCATTGATTAGGACTGAATCTCATTAAGACACAATCTACTGGGGGTGGTGCAAGAGAAAATATAATATTGATTAAAAAATAAAATAATCCTCCTTTCTCGCTCACCCTCCTGACTGACTTAGTTCATAATTAGCCTTCTCATCTAGCTTTCCTCCTACATGTTATATAGCTGTCAGTCAGACAGGAAGCAAGATCATAAGAATGCAATTAGAAATTTCAAATTAGCAGTCAAGCACAGACATGGGATGGATGAACCTGCATCATGCCCAGTATGTCATTTGACTGAAGTGTGATCACAGTAATGTGAGTTAAAGATTTTTATTTCAACATAAAAATATGAATGCTATTATGCATATGATACAGTTTAGGAATTGCATCACATTTTTATTATACAGGATAACCATAAGAATCAGCTGATATGCATCAGTACATAAGGCCATTTTTGCCCTAAAATTTAAGATTGAAAAGGTTATTTCTGTTTACTATGGGAATACGTTACAGCAAAAGCATTAAAAAGCAAATTTGGCCACAATTGTCTCCGTGTTAGCACTGTAGAAAGGAATTGAATGAGAAAGGACAGCCTTTTCCTTTCTCTTCCTTTTCCTGATCTTGTAGAAAGGTACAGTATCATGATAAAGGTTCAGAAGTAATGAGACAATACGAGGCTATTCCCAAGCTAAATCTAGGCTTTCTAAAAAGTGACTGCAGCAACAACAGTGTTTAAATGAGTTTAGATTAGCTTTGCTCAAGTTGTATTTGAGACTAGCAGCATCTGTTTTGGGATTTACAAGATTTTCAAGTTCTAATATAACAATTACTGTTGTATTTATTTGGGTTCTAACTTAATTGTTGGCAATTTTTTTGAGAGGGCTCTTTATAGAAAAAAAAAAAAAACAAACAAGTAGCAGATTTGGTGTATTAGCAAGGTAATTTTCTTTCTGATAGAAGAATTAATTTGAGCTGACCTATTACAAACATCACTGGTTTATTCTTTGGGCTCTTCATAATGATCAGTCACTGAGAAATGAGCACAGAAAGCCACAGTAAGCAACTTCAGCTGGCATTTACCACCACTGAGTTCACTGAGGTGATGCTCTTCTGCTCTCTGCCATGATCTGGGTAAAGCTCAATGTTCAATACGTTTTATTTCTATTGACCATTTAATAGATTGCTGTGTTTCCCTGTTCATAACCCAGAGTTTCAAAGGAGTTCAGTGTTGTATGGTCTTCCTAAAAGGTTTTAATCGAAGCCAGCATCTCACCCCAGTTCATTCGATAAAAGAGAAACAGCAATCCACCTTTGAGGAAAAGGAACTGGAGACAAATCAGAATCTAAAATGATGGAGTCTGGTAGAGGAAATATGAGTTTCAGAGCTTCCACTGGGGTTTATGCATTGTTTGGCCCTGTGAAAACAGAAGAAACACTTCTTCACAAGGAACTTTCAGATGTAGTTTTTTCTTCCCATCATCATGAGTTTTTACACTGTGGGGACTTCTGGTGCCAGGAAAATTTAAAGCCAAATAAAATTTTAGTAAAGAAAAAAATCATGGAAAAGCAAGGTCTTACTATTACTTGATTAATACAATGTGATACATAGATTGAGAAGGAGTAGTAAATTTAAAGCTCTTTAGAGGAACACAATTAATGTATTACTTGGAGTTTCATTTTATCTGCTTTGGTATTAAAAACACCCTGTTCTACCCCATTTCTTACTGAAATTCTGTTCAGATATTTACAGTTATTACTCTGTTTTAAGCTTGTTTTCAAAAACACTTGAGCTGATGTATGGCATTCTTTTAATTTAAATCCAAGTTGGCATTTGCTCTTTTACATTTTCCCCCATCACAGCAAGAGTTCAGGAGTTCTTTTATGTCATCTGTGTGGCATTTTAAAAGAAGAGCCTTGCCCCTAAGGTTTCTACTCCTAACTTGTACTGCAGACCATTTCTTCAGACCCAGGCATTTAAAAGAGATAATAGCTCTGGATCTGAGGGTGCTACTCCCAGACCTTTTCTGTTCCTTTAGTCAAAATTGCTGTGTCTTTCTTAAAATTATGGTAAAATGAGACATCAGCTAGGATCTCCTTTGAGAAGTAGATAATAAAATCCACTGTTAAATTCACATGAAAATGTTCCTACAGATCATTCTATGCTCCACTTAACAATGTTGTTAGCATGTCATTAGAATATATTTTTTAACTTTGAGGTTAGTGTATAACTTTCATTATAGAAATTAGCAAAGAATAAAAAATCTTGTAATTTCTTTTCTTCCTACGAGAAGAGCCCAAAAAACTGGAATAACAACTTTAGCAGGTATGAACAAAGCACAGTACACAACATTGCAAGTACTTGCTGGGAAAGACCAATAGAAAAATATGCACCACTAAGATCTGAGAAAAGAAAAATGTAGGTGAATATATTCTTAGTGCTGAGGAGCTAATTAATAAAATAAGTTATTTGGTTTCTGTGCAATGGATGACACAAATACTAAAAAAAGACGGAAAAAAGTCAACTTTTGTATGTTGTAGTTTAATGTTGAGAATGAGAGTTTAAAAAAAAGTAGAAATTCCATTTCTCTCAAGGAGAATAAGCATTAAATTTAGTAAGCAGAAACATTACCCTAAGGAGAGACTGAAACTCCAAAATGAGTTACATATCAAACACAAACTAATGCGTCATGCTAGATTTTTTTAAGCAGAAGCTGAAAAAAAAGAACCCCAACATCAAAGAAAGGAGAAAAATGCTGATCTTAACACACAAGTTTAATTATTTTTGAATACTATATTCACAGTTTGCAGGACCTGCCAAAACAGGAAAGTCCTCCCTCTCTCCTTCATCTTGTTTTTGTTTGTTTGTTATTATGAGATGTTAAAAATCTTTACACAGAGTTCTTATTTATTGTATGCAGTAGTTTTGAATCAAACATTTCCATATTCAGAAATGCTGATGGGCTTAAACCTTTTACAAGAAAGGGTAAGATACACAATATGAGATTTTGATAGTTAAATTCTTTCAAGAACGTGTGTGTGCTAGTCAAATTATTTGATCTCTGGTTCAGTCTACTGTTCTAAATATAGAGGTATATGTATTTACCCATAGATATATACTAATGAAAATGTGAGTTTGGTATTCCTGGCCCTAGCTTGGTTTACGTACGACACCTCCTCACAAACTTAATTACCATCTCTAGTAATTTGTTCGATTTTCAAATCTTTTAATTTAAAATTGTTCAGGTGCCAGCATCCTAGGGTTGTTGGTGTAGATTTACCACTGTCTGAAATATCAACAGCAGCAGCTCCTACTTTTGCAGAACTGGTATCCTGCATCTCTGTGGTTCCCTGGACATACCCTCTTTTTCTGACCAGCAGTATTTTCTGACTGCATTTCAGTATTATCACCTTTGACCCTTCACCTTTTTATCTGGAGTACAAACAACCAGAGAATACAGTGAACAGGGATGGCGAGGTGGGACAAGAATAGGTCTGATACCCAGAGGTTGTGAGTGGCACTGCCGCAGCTGGTGAGACACTAGTGGTGCCACAGCAGGGACAAATTTGCAGGGCCAGTTTGAATGAGAGTTCCTGACACATCCTCCCAGTCCCCAATGCCTGGTGCAAACCCCTAAGGCTGAGATATAAGCCACCTTCCCTGTGGGAGAGACAGTGTTTGAAACAGAGTCACCAGCTGAAGGAGCTGTAGGAAGAGGTGAGCAAACTGCATCATTGAGAAGGGATGGACATGGAATTGAGGGATCCTTTGGCAGAACCTGAACCCCATATTCTGTCTAAAGTGTGACAGGTGGAAGCTGACCCTGATCAAGTAGAGGATACAGGATGCCAGGAAGCAGAAAGCCAGAAGCTTGAAACTTTGGTGACAGAAGGAGAAGCTTTCCCTGCTTTGCAGCTGTGCATTGACAGACTAGATATGAAGCACTGACAAAAGAAAAGAAGGAACAAGTTTTTTCACATCACAGTGGAGAGATGTCTGAAGTTTGACTTGGATTTGGATGAGATATTTTGAAAAATTGTCTTCCAACATGAATTGTTCTAATTGTTCTATTGATTCTAATCAATGATTCTATGACACCAGTATCTTTGAAATTTCCAAACTGCAGTCACAGATCAATACTCATGATAATTTGAATGAAATATATCCTACAAGCCAAATTTGACTGACTGCAGCAGTGTCAAGATTCCTGGAAATTCTGGACTTGGTGTTTCCATACTTCATGGCCCACTTTTCTTCCAGCAGATATCACATGACTTGAGCTAAGCATTCCAATCTCATTTTCTGATGTTTCAGGACACATCTCACCATGCCAACAATTATATTATATCCTGCTCCCATTTTATGTTTAAGAACTGTAAGCTTTTTCTGTCATTATAATACTGTGAGATTGGAACAATAAACATGCTATTTATAATTTTTATTATAAATGCTTCTCTTTTATAGAACTAGTAGTTCTTTGCAAACAGTGCTCTGAATCTTCTTTCAGTATGTGCCTTAAAACCAGTTAAATTATTTGAATTATCTGTACATCTTAAATATCATGGACTCAATCACTGATGTTCATTCAGATTCCATGAAGAACATCTAATAAGAAGGAAACAATTCACCTTTTCTTTTACCTGTGGAATAGTCTAATTTTAGAATATGTTAAAGCAATCTGAGTACATTAAAGAATAACTATGTCCCCATAATTAAAAATTAGTTTTTGCTTATTGCCATACCCCAGATTCTTTGATAACTCCTCCACAGGAGGTATAGTAGCTTTTGTCTTTTTCCATCTGAAGCTGTATATCACATATCCCCAGAGAACTTTGTATTACCAGAAAATGAGAAGGAAAATAAAGACATCTGGTTTATAGGATCTGGGGTTTGCCAGTTGGCCTATGAATCATCTGTTCTGGGAATGATATCAATCCATCTTGTTAGATACTCTAACAGTTTATACCTGTTCAAATACAGTCTTTAGAGAATTTAATCCTCATTTAATATGACAAGAATTCAGAATATATGTGAAAACAATCAAATACTTTAAGGAACTAAAACTTCTATTTTTCTATTCCTATTTAGTTTATCTATTTGCTTTTATTCCTATTAGTTATTACTATTTAATTTTATTACCTATTTGCTATTATGTAAATATTTTGTTACTACCAAGATATGCATTCAGAATACTATGGATAATTTTTTTTTTAGGAAAAAATTCTATACAAATGGGCAATAAATGCAAATGAAGAAGAATGCTGCAATGAGTGAAATTATTTTTTTTTAATTTGAACTTTCTGTTAAAATGATGCAT